TCCGCCCCATCCCGGTTGCGCTGGGCGCGCGCGGTCGTCGCCGGCGCCGCGTCCTTGCAATGACCTGCGCCGTCACTCGAGGGCAGGCCGCGGCCTAGCGCCGCCCCGCCGAGCGGAGCGGAGCCGGTCGGGCGGCACCGGGCGAACCGGCCCCCGCCCCCCGCCGTGGGGCCGCGCCAAGGTGACACCGAGGTGACCGGGGCCACCCACGGATCCGTCCTGCGGAGCCGCTCCTGAGTTCCCATGTTCACAGCGTGACCGTACCCAGGTCCCGGTTAGCGCCCCTGATCCAGGGTGTCTTTTGCTTTAGCCTTGTGGATTTGTGTTCCAGCAAATCCAACTGGCTGCGAGTCCTCTACAGCTAGTCCCGCTATTCCCTGCATTTCTGTATACCTTACATAACGTATATATGTCTTCTTTAGGCCTCCTTAAATCCTCAGATTCTTTTTCTGATGCTAAAAAATGTGTGCGCCCTCATACATGTCATGCTATTCCTTGCGTTTCTGTATGCCTTACATAACGTATATATGTCTCCTTTAGCCCTCCTTAAATCCTCAGATTCTTGGTCTGCTGCTGAAAAATGTGTGCGCCCTCATACATGTCATTTTTTAAAAATATGGTCTTAACGGTCCCTTTTTTACTATGGTCTTAGTATGGCCCCTTTTAATACTGTACTGTAAAAGCAAATGGCAGGCTTCGTAAATCCCTCGAATCGAGGAGGGCTGGTCATGTGCTTAGATAACAAAAACTGCTCTGGTTTTGGACTTCTCCGACTCTTGAAACTAGTTAATTTTGCCCGAAGATGCCTGTGCCCCTGAAACGTTATTTGCCTTTTGCCCGGCTGTGGAACTGGGGAGCGACACGTGGAGACGTTGCCTGTTTTGACCGTCAAGCACAAGCCGTGTTTGGGTGAGAGTGACCTTGATGGGCCTGGTGTGAAAGGAGAGGCTCCCAGTCCAAGTACCGAGCTTCTGCTGTACCAAACTGCCCCGAAGGAGTCTGCGTGCTGATAAATGCTTTTCACAACAGATACAAGCATCACTACGGCAAACTAAGGGCCAGAAAGAAAGCCAGCAGCAATTCAAGTTGGATCTAGAGAACTTGTAGCTTTTTCAGACTCATTTTTTTTGTTTGTGTGTTTCTTTCTCTGTAGGGTTTGCTAATTGACTGAGGGGATCTTTTTTTTTTTTTAACACAGTATTTAAGGGTTTTTCACTAGCACCCTCCCATCCTCTGCTTATACATGTATGGAGGAACATTCTTTCCCTGACGTCATATGTCATGTATTGGAGACAAAAAAGGCAAAGATCTGCTTTAGAGCTGGGTAGAGGATGGTGAATCTTCCTAGAGGGCTATAGAAGAAAACCATTTTTTTGTCATCTGCCTTTGCCTTACCTGGGCTCAGGTGAAGAAATATAGGTACCACCTATATTTCATTCAGTTTGGAGCTTTTTATTGGAGGAATACTAGCCAAAATTAGCAACTGAAATTACATACAGTGCATCTTTAGCAATGCTGAGTTCTAAATGAGGTTAACCTAGGAAAAAAAAAAGATTAATTAGTGAGATAAACTTTGGGGCGGTGTATTTTGAGAACTAATGACTGGGAGGCGTTGTAAATGTGAAGTCAGTCCAGTTGAGTCTAATGGGTTTGAAATGCGTAATTGGGAAGAAAGTCAATTCTTTAGTATAAAATACTAATGTCATTATAACTTCAAGATACCAGATTTTTATCTTCAACAGATAGGAGGACAGCAGTATTTCTCTTTTCCTCACGTTTTCGCCATCGTGTTGATGAAAAAGCTGTTTTTCCTTGTGTCTTTGAGGGCCTATATAGCTGTTCGAAAGCCGTCCATGCAAAATGTCTTTAAAACAAGTCTTCATCAGTTCTGGACTTGTGACTGAATCAAAGAACTTGTTACTATTGTGTCATCTGTCACAGCCAGTTCCTGGATTACAAAATCAGTTATAATCAGTTATTAAGCAATTTCAGGAGTCGTGTATGTTGGAAAGTTGCTCCAAAATAAAACAGATTATTCATTTTAAATGGAGACTTGGATAGCTAATCTAGGATATAGCTCTTCCTTTCTGGAATGGATGTTATTGCAAGACTCATTTGGCCAAGCTCATTGCACACGTAAATGCTATGATTTTGAGAAGTGCTGAGCCTACTTTAGAGAGTCTGTTGCTGAGTTACATTTTAAATATTATAAATGAGGATTCACCACAAAAAAAACAACGTTCTGGATTGCTTTCTTCTGTGAGGAAAAGTCCTTTGTCTCACTGAAACAAGGGACTCGGAAAACTCCTTGTGGGGACTGGCTGTACAGAATTGTTTTTCTCTTGCATTTCCGTCTCTCTGTCCTAAATAATCCTGCTCTGACTGAAGGAGTGTCCTTTGAAAGTCTGTACTTTGGAGTAGAAACTAAATACTTTGCAGCAAAATAAAGCAACTGATAGTAAATAAGCTCTACTAACCCAGTGTTTATCCAGATGGTGTATTGAGTGAAAATACATGTATTTAGAGCTCTTGGTTGCTAAACCAAACTCCCATTTCCTTTTCTCTTTTGCTCAAACTCTTCCTTCCTTTCCTCATTTTAGCTGCATTGTATGCCCGATGCTACTCTCATGGGTCTCAAGAATCGGATGAAGAATTCGATGCTCGCTGGGTGACATACTTCAACAAGCCAGATATCGATGCTTGGGAGCTAAGGAAAGGTGTGTTGAATGAAATTACAGTCATATGGAGAAAATACAACTGCTTTGCAATAGTATTATGACCAGAAACAATTTATTTTTGCTGGACTGCTTGAGAGCAGAGGCAGTGTTATCTAGAAAACTCCTTACCTAGCTCAGTTTACAGAAATTATATAGGTTCCCAAAAGAGTTAGTACCTTTTATAGTCAGTAATTCCAATAGACTTCACTGCCATTCAGTATATGCTGAGAAGGGGCTAGTCTGGAGTGTTTGGATATTCACACTGATGAATGATTTTCATGCATCTGTATTAAAGAATTGCTCCATACCTGATGCTTTTGTGGGGTGAGGCAGGCCATGCCCAGTAGGTGTCTTTTGTTTGCACGGTGAACTGACGACAACTTTATTGCTTCCTTATATTCATAGGCATAAATACACTTGTGGGTTATGACCTGGTGCCGGAACCAAAAATCATTGATGCAGCTCTGAGAGCTTGCAGACGGTTAAACGACTTTGCCAGTGCAGTCCGCATCCTAGAAGTTGTAAAGGTAAGTGGAATGGTAATACAAGGTGTGACTTCTGCTTTCATGTTGCTGAACGCCCTTCAGAGGAAGAGAGATTTCCTTTGCTTGCTGCAGGCAGTAGCCCGCAATTTCCTGCTACTAGAAGCAACAAGTTGACTATGATCAAGTGGTTGGTGATTTTATAGTCCTGAAGGAAAAGGGCTCAACAGCACTGAGTCACAAGCATTATGTTCTTACTTGCATATTTTCCTTTTCTGATACTATTTGATCTCTTCCTCCATTGAGTAAACAGGCACTTCTCAGCATTGCAGGCCGGAATAGAATGAGGGACGTGTTTTTTTTTTTTTTTTTCTTCCCCTCTTTTCTCACCATTTGGAGCTGTAGGGGTAAAGTCTGTAGGAAAACTCAGGACCAGCATGCAGTCCTCCTTAAGCTTTGCTTAGGAACGTTTCAAGGGGTAACATTTATCCCCAATTCACAAGGAAGATAAACTTTAAGTCCAATCTGTTTGTAAACTGTGTTTTTTTTTTCCTTCCTTTTTACTGGTTGGTTATTGTTTTGCTTTTATTTCCGAAGGTATAAGCAGTCGTTGGGCTGGTTTGCAAAGCATCCTTCCTTAAAGCAACTACTACTTTAGTTCTGTGGGTTGTAACTCACTAGCTTGACGTTAAGCAAGAGAAAGAGAAAAGCAAGAAATGTTATTAGTACTCTGAAAATTCCCTTAACTGGGAATTAAGCATGTTCTGGCATGCTTCACAGCCATGATCAATGGGTAGAAGAACTTTCTGGGGCAGATACATGAAAATCTTGTTTGTTTGGTATGCAGAGATAATGTGAATACACATCTTGACTGTAAGCATGACTGAGATATGATGGACCTGGATGTGACTACAGCCTGCTGGCAAGTTAACACTGTGCCTTTTATTTAGGACAAGGCAGGACCTCACAAGGAAATCTACCCTTATGTCATCCAGGAACTTAGACCAACTTTGAGTGAACTGGGAATATCTACTCCAGAGGAACTGGGCCTAGACAAAGCATAAACCTTACTGGTAAGGGATACATATTATTGAAAAAGCAGTGCGGCTGCTTGAGAGGATGGGGAGGCTGGCTGCAGTACTGAGCCCTCTAGAGATTTCTGGGTAGCAGTGCTAGAAATATCGATGCAGAATGAAATTATATATTGCCAAGGCAATAAATATTGCAGTGCTTGTTTGGCAGTATGTAGACCTTTGCTCCTCATCAGCTTTTAGTGGCAGATATTTTTAGCAAATGTGAAAATCATTTCATCTGCAAGTGCACATGCCTTCATTTTATTGTCACAGTCCAACCAGTTTAGAAAACTGGGAGATACCAATTACTACATGCTGGGAAATGGCCCCATTGATGTTACTGATGCAGCAACACTGAAGTTTCTTTATATTGCAGATAAAGTGCCAGGGTTTTTTCTTTGTTTCAGGACTAATTTGAAGGACTCTCTGCCTATAGAATAATCGGAGCAGCTCTAGCATAGCCAGAGCTCAAGTGCTCCATAAACAGAACTTCTATTTAGTCTTGCTGGATAACTTTAAGCTATGTATGTTATCCTTAAAATTGATCTAGGAAGTGTGGGGGTGTGCATAGTTGTTAATTCTGCATCTCTGTCTCCTTGCTTTTCTTCCCTTCAGATGTGAAGCCTTAGTGTACTGGGAATGCAGTGACTGTGTGTGGGGGCTGAGTGTGGTTAAACTGGGCTTTGCAAGTGTAAAATGGAGCAACAGAAATAATTTATTGGTGACCATATGAAACCATGTGGAAAGCTGCTTGCCTGATGACTTTTCTGTTCTTTTCCAGGTGGATTACCTGTGCATTTTACTGATGCTGTCTGATTGTACACAGTCATCTGGAGACACAAATGTTAAAATATTACCTTATTTGAAATAACTTTTCTTCCTTTATTGAGTCACAATGTATGTGATCTGAAGTTGGACCTAATAAAGGAAAAACTGTTTTGACTCATGTGATGGTGGTGGCCTATGCGATTTTATTGCCTTTGGTAGGAAAAGAGAGAGAGAAAACGGAATGTACTTTCCATGAACGAAATGAGAAACACTATTACTTGCCCTGAGTGCTACCAGGTTGATGGCTGCTTTCCTAATCCAATAGTACTGCTAGCCAGCAAGGAAGGCCAGATCCTTGTGGATTTGTGTGTAAAACCAGCCAATTTTCGCCCACTTACAGAACAGAGCAGGTTGTTTGGTCCTGGTCTTTGCAGAGCGGTTAGTGGTACCAATTGCTCCCTGTGGATGTTAAGAGTCAAGGTGAATTCTGCGACAAAGTGGATGGAGGTGGGGAGTAAACTGCAGTATTGGGCATTCTTGATGGTGACAGTGACGGAGCACTGGAACAGGTTACCCGGAGAGGTTGTGGAATCTTCCTCTCTGGAGATCTTCCAGACCCGTTTGGATGCAGTCCTGTGCCACGTGCTCTAGGTGACCCTGCGTGTGCAGGGCGGTTGGACTAGATGAGCTCTAGAGGTCCCTTCCAACCTTAACGATCCTATGATTCCTGTATTTGCTAGGAGCGTGGAATTTTCTCATTTCAAGTGATAAACATGAAGTGTCTTTCCTTCCTGCTGGGAGTTGTTCTCACAACTGGTTATTGCCTTGCTGCTGGGCCCGGAAAGCTCTGGAAACGACCCCTCGGCCTCAGCAGGGAGGTGTTAGGGGCCCCTCTCCTCCCTCAGAGGCCGCGGCGGAACCGATGGCTCCTCCGGGGAGCGGCTGCCCGCGCAGAGCATGCGCGGCGGCGCCCGGCTCTGATTGGCTGCGGCGCGGGGGGCGTGGCCGGCGGCGGGGCGGCCATGGCGACGGCCCAGGTCCTTGTTTCTCATGTGCTGTTTTCCTCCTCTCTTTGCTTCGTTAGTTGCTATTTTTATAGCGCTTTTTAACACCGATCGGCGCCACATCTTCTCGAGGGTAGATGCTTTTGCGGGGGGAGGTTTTTCTCCTACAACCCAGGCTTTGAAACGTGGTTTTTGGTCACTGCTTTCATCTTAATGATGTCTTCCTGCGTGGGGGGAAGCTCAAAGACTCCAAATCCACAGGTTGAAATAGAACATCCCCATTTTCCACTTACTGATAATGTAACAGTTAAAAGTTTTCCGTCCCCCTCTCCCTAGTGTTTTTATTCCTGGAGACAAACTTGAGAAGGAATGGGCTATTGCCGTGTGTGCCTTTAATTTAGCATCAGTATTTCCAAGTAATCCCCTCATCTGCTAATCGAGCTGCTTATTCCTCCTGCTGGCCCTGCAGTCGTGTTGGAGGAGCCCTCTTAAGCTGCCACAAGGGGAGCTTCCATGGTAGCTGTTGTTGGAATATTTAAATGGGTGCCAAAGAATAACTGAGGCCAGATGCTCTTTGGGGTGACTGCTGCTAAGATCCCTCCTTTTCCTTTTTAGCCGCTTCGGACAGAAAGCAAGAGGATGAACCGGCAGGCGGATGCAGTGGAGAAAAGGGGACCGTACATCGTGAGCAAGGCACCCTCCCTTCATGCCAAGCTGCGTAAGTGACGGTGTGGGGCACTGCGGGGAGGTTTGGGGACGTGTGTGCACCTCTTGCAGCACAGTCCTCGCCCTGGTCCTTGTTCTTCCTTGGCCATCTGGGGAAAAGAACCTGCGTCTTGGCAGGTGCTGTTTCCACAAAGCATGTGCTGACTTGCAGGGGACTCGCTCTGTGGGCTGCTTTATTCCATCTCAGCAAGGGCTTAAGATGTGTTTTTAAGTAGAAGCAGTTGCTGGTTATCCCTGCCCCTTTCCGAGCTCGTGTTGTGCAGTAAGAAGCACTTGAAATTGCCCTGCTCGATAACTGCATGCAGCACCTAAGGAAAAGTCTCTTTTGCTCTGATGTTACCGACAGCTGCTTTTCTTTAGGTGGGAAAAAAAAAAGTTGCTTTCTGGATTCTTCAGCTGTGACAGGATTGGAATTTCTGCAGCCAAATAACTTGGAATAAATGCAGTTTCCCCCTGCTAGGTCTTGCCTGGCCTGTCCAGCAGCTAATTCTCACTGCAGAATGGTGCTGTTATCCGGGGAGGGGTTCTGGGGTTTGACTAGCTTGGGGCTCCTCATAGTGCCTGAGAGGCATTTCAGAGCACGAGTATCTAGCAAGGGTGACCTCAGCAGAGAAGAAACATCTTGAAAACTTCCTGGTAGTGCCTGTCCTCTTCTCTGGTGGTGCTCTCTTTGTAAGATTTGCAAATCTGAGGGCTGTCAGTGGGAATGCCCATCAGACACCGTCCCCTCCTGTCCCTGTAGCTGGCTCAGAGCCCCCAGACTTTGTAAAGGAAGCACTGCTAAGTTCGGGCTCACTCTTGGTTGCTCACACCGGCATTTCTTGCCTTTGGCTGCCCTTCGGATGGGAAAGGGAGCCAAATCCACTGACTGATCTGTCCCTGCATGCCTGGCTGTTGGGAGATGGACGATGAAGAGTTCAGCTTCTCATAAATGCGGCGGCACTGCTTCTCAGAACCATGTGGGTGTTAAACACTCGAACTGGGCTCTCACAGCAGGAGGGAGCAGCCCTGGACTATGCCTCGGGGCAGGCGTTGCCGCCTCCCGCCAGCACCTGTGTCCATGGGATTTTACAGGCTTTGTTCTGCAGGTGACCCTGCCCTTCTCTTGCAGGGAGCAGAGGCACTGGGATAGGTGATCCCAAGCTGTATTGCTCCCCCTTGGGCAAGTGGAGTTGCGGTTTGGTCGCGCTCAGTGCCGGGGCAGACAGAGTTAGGATGGAATTAGCACCTTTAGCTTTGCACAGCAACATCAGCTGCTGCTTTTGTGCTGTCAAAGCAAGAGGGGCAGCCACAGCAGCACTGAGACTCGGGGCTGCCTCTCCGGAGCAGGGCCTGCTGTGAGCCCAAGGGTCCCGGGGACGCCTGCAGCTCTGACCCCCTGTTTGCTTTGCAGAGCGGCAGCGCGAGCTGGCGAAGGCGGCGCTGCGGAGGCAAGGCCTGCTGGGGGGAGCCGCTCTGCACCCACCGAAGGCAGCGGCTAAAAGGTCTGATCCCGATTTCTCTTCCTTTACCAAGGCTTTTCCCTGGGGCTGGGAGCTGATCTGCCTCTTGCTGGACGCAGTCCCTCCAGGTCTGGGCACGCTGGCCTGGCCCTGGTGCTTCCTCGCTGCGTGAACACAAGATGCTTCAGAAACGTCATTTGATTGGGATGATGCAAGGCGCAGGTTTAATTAAAAAAAAAAAAAAGACAACTTTATATCACTCCCCATCCTCCCTACAGTCTCCCCTTAGATTGTATCCTGTCGGCCTTCAGAACATATATAAAACATATAGACCAAGAGTGTGAACCGCTGACAGATACCCTGACAGTTACAGTGGGCAGCAAGTGGCAGTCCAGGAGCCCGGAACACCTGTGTTTTCATCACTGACCTTGACTCCTGCATAGGCTGAGCCTCGGGAAAGAGGGGACACCAGCAAAATAAGTCTCTCTACTGGGGACAGGCTGGGGCTGCTGCTGGGCTGGGCCATCGTGATGTGGCTGGTGGGCGAGAACCTAATCCACAGACTCCTGCTTTCCACTGCACTGAATGTCAGGCCGTGAAAACCTGGTTTGGGGTAAGGGATTTGCAGGGCAGAGGAAGCTGAGAAAGGCTGTGCTGCAGTCATCCACCCACATGCAAAATTTGTGAACTGTTCTGCCAGGGTCTGCATTTGTTCCCTTTGTTCTGGAGATGTCAAGGATTTGAGCAGGTAGCCTAAGGAGAGGGCTTGAGAATGGAGTTAATTCTCAGCTGATGGTGTTCCTGGATGGAACTGGATGGTGTTCCTGGATGGTGTGTGATGAGGGCAGTGTAGCTCGGTGTTTAGATGTGCCTGGCACCCGGCAGGGATCCCTGCTCCATCAGATCCATGACTGCGTTGCCACAGCAAAGGCTGTGTCGTGGGCTCACTGCTCTGCTTTTCTTGCAGGTCAGTGAAATTTAACAAGGGCTACACGGCGCTCAGCCAGACGGTCGATGAACACTTGGTATCGCTCGACTCGGACAGGTGAGGGCTCTGCCTATATCCCATGCTTGTGCTATGGACTGGGTATCTTTGCAGGATGCAGATTGTGTGCTGAATCTGAGCCCGCTGCTTGCTGAGGGAGTTCTCAGCATGCAGGGGATTAATGGCTTTGGAAAATGTAGTGGCCTTTCTCTACGCTGGGATTTGCTGAAGAAAATGGCACTAAGGGAACTGAGTAGGCTCTGCTAAGTCGAAGGAGCTGATGTGTCCTGAAAAGCAGTCTGTCCACTGCTATCTGTAAATCTCCAGATAAAAAAAAATCCCTTGCCTTTTATGTGCTTGATTTGCTGTGTCACTTGTAGTTCAAGGACTATAAAGGTGCAGGGGACTGGACATCTGTGAGCAGTGCAATGCTTCCAATGTCCCAGATTTAACAGAGGACTCTGCCCATGAGTTTTCTTTGAGATCCTTTGAGATCACGCTGCCAGCTCCCTTTGTTTGGAGAATCCCTTGTCTGGTTATGCAAGCAGAGATGCAGCTTCCCTGCCAGTCCAACACATAGCCCTGTGCTTCGCAAGCCGGCGCAGTAGCGAGTTACGCGCTCCAAACCTCCGTCCTGCTCTGACTGTTGCCTTCTTCTCTTAGTGACGGAGAGCTGGAATCGAGATGTTCCTCTGGCTACTCTTCCGCTGAGGCAAGTCGAGGTGTTTCGCTCCTATCTCACTGTATGGTTCCCATAGGCTTCCTTGCTGCAATTGCATGGCAGGATTAAGGGTACCCCTGTGTTTTGGGTGCCTAAGAGCAATGTCAGTGATAAACCCAGAGCTGTCACTGCTCTGTTTAGGTGCAGCCTTAACAGTAAGAGCGAGGGGCTGTTGTCTGGCCAGAGCTGCTCTTGCTCTGCGAGTCCCCTCCAGCCTGGAGTGTTAGCTGAAGCTCATCAGTCTGCTTTGCAAACAGCTGCTGCTGCTGTTTGATATTCAGGCTGCAAAAAGAGATGTGTTAAGCTCCCTTCTGCGCTTGCCAGTTATACATTAGTGCTTCATCCTTTGTGCCTAAAGCTCTGTCTCCTTCCAGCCCCCAAAGCACTGCAGCTGATGAGCTTGGTTTGTGAGGAAGGGGTTGCAGCTGCAGTCCTGCTGTGTGCAGGGTGCTGCAGCCCAGGAGCTAGAGATCTTTGATCTTTTGCTTGTCTTCTCTGCTCTAGCTGTGGTGCTGAAGCTGCTGGAAGCAGCCCTGAAGGGAGAACTCTTTTCTCATTTTCTTTTTTTAGCAGTCCTCCCTCTGTGGGAGTGCATGGGGTTAGCCTTGGGAGCTGAATTTTAACTATTCTTTTGCTTTCACTTAGAGGCTTGCAAACTTCTGGAGGTTACGACCCTGCTTCTAATAGCTGTAATAACCCAGCTAGTTTTTGAGGTCGCACAGAGTAACCTAAAATCTGCTGGGCTATGGCTCTGTTCAGCCACTCTGGCAGCTGGTGCTCCAGTCTCCTCCTCTGTTCCCCTCCGAGCTGTCGCATGCGGGTGTCTGTGTCCTGCCACAGACGCGTTGACAAGACTGCGAGTGACACTGACTGACAGGCGGCGGGCCGGGAGCGCTGATCAGGCGTCCTACAGCGCAGGGAAGGTTCCCCTGTGCCCGATGGTGCTTCGGGTCGGGTTTCGCTGCTCTCCTGACACATTGTTACAGCTCTGTCTCCTCTGCCCCTTCCAGCAGGTGAACCAGGATCTGAGCCGGCAGCTGCTGCAGGATGGCTACCACCTAGACGAGGTCCCAGATGATGAAGACCTGGATCTCATTCCCCCTAAACCCGTTGCCTCCTCTGCTTGCCCGTGTTGCTTTGGACACTCTCTATCCTGTGTGATCCAGTAGGTGCTGCCCCGACGGGCTAAGCAGAGCAGGCTGTGAGCCAGCACTTTCTTCTTTGTCCCTTGGGATGTTTGTGGGAGCCAGTGTCCCACACCGGGACAGTGACTCCAAAACTGAATGCTGCTACACTGCTGCGCTGCTGCTCTTGGGGAGCAGCAGCAGCTGACCGAACCCCAACTCTTCTTTGTTACACATAGCAATATAGCAGAGATTGCACAGTGACACCTAGCTTGCCTGCATGGCACTTTTGCCAGGCATGAGAAGCTCTTAGCTGACGTGGGGAGAAAGAAGGCAGAAGCAGGTGGCCTCCTGCTTGTGATCATGGTGGGGGGGAGCCAGCCCCCCATTGACTCTGGAGATGGAGGATTAAGGAACTCAGTTCTTAAGTCAGGCCCCAGCCTTTCCCTTCCCTGTGGAGGGGACTGAAGGAGCCTTTTCTATTTATTTATTTTATGCTCAACCCAGTTACCTCTGCCCCCTAGCTGGGTGAGGCCGAAGCACAGAGGCCAGCAGAGCACCTGGGAAGTGCTGCTGCAAGAGATCTCCCTATTTAATGCACTTAATGCTGCTTGTAACTGCTGCTGGCTTTCCTTCTCCCAAAGCCTGGACATGCTGAACCAAAGATTGCCCCTGTCGGACGGCTCTGCTTGGCCTGGTTGTCCCTCAGACGTGAGCAGTTATTTTTTGTAGCGGGTATTTACTGTGTAGGAGAGTGACCAGGGCTGACGCCAAGGCCTGCCTGCTTTGGGCTGGAATATGTGCATTTTCTTTCCTATTAGATACTCACGGAAAGGGACGAAGCTGTGCAATATCTCTGCAGGCCTGTTCTGTTGTTGTTAGTGACTGTAGGCTGCAGCCTCCGGGTCTGTGCATGTGTCACAGGCAGCGCTGGTCCGCCTGTATCGCTGCCGTTGGCGGTCGTGGATCCGAGGATGGCAGAAGGATCCGGAGCGTGGACAGCGAGCGGAGCCGCTCGCCTGCTGCGGTAACGCTGCAGGGGCAGCGGCTGCTGCGTCCTGGCCTAAGCGAGGGGCTTGGGAGCAGCGTGTCCCGCTGCTGGCAGCCGCCTGGCACATGGCACCATCTGCTGCTCGTGCTCCTCTCCTCGCCTCATGGGCTCCAAGCGCTGTATTTATTGATATATGTCTTTTCCCCTTGGGTCCCTTCCCAGCGCAGCTCGACTTTCTCTTTCCATTCCTTTCCTTCCAGGGCAGCCCTCTTGCAGGGTGACACGCTGCTCTCGGAGGCAGAGGATGGCAGCATGGCGAAAAACTATTGCAGATTTGGGTTTGCTGTGTAGAAACCTGCTGCTTTACTGTAAGCAGAAGCACGTTGTGGTCAGTGTGCTAACTCGGCACCAGGGCAGGGGCTTTCAAAGAACATTTTCATGTTGGTGCAGAGGAGTCGCTGTTATGGGGCCGTGCAGCTTGTGAGTAGGACATATGTTTAGGGGGTGACTCCTTTTTTGTATTTAACCTCTGCCTTGCCTTCGCTTTACTGAAACAGGGAATTGAAAAACATTGTGCTCACCTTGTGCTAGACCTCAGGACCTTAATCTCAGCTCTCCAGGGTGGGAGGAGCCGGCTTCCCAGTCAGTCTGGTTTTAGCTCCCAGCTCCTTCCCATTCTTCCCAAACCTGCTTTAATGCTAGGGAGCTCCCAAGGCAGGAGGGGGGATTTGTGGCTCCAGTGCAGGCTGCAGCACCTCTCGATACCAGCTGTGCCCCGCTCAGTCATTTTGTGTGTGATTTTGGAGCAGGAACAGTCTGGGGAGTCAATCTGATATGAGTTTATAAGCTGCCTTAAATCATGGTCCAGCTGTACTATGTTGAGGACAATCAGCTTCGTACAAAGAAACCTTGTTTAAATACTTGATATCTAGAGGACTGAACTGTGTGTTTCTTTTTTTTTTTTTTTTAATATATATATTCCTCGCTGAAGGAAGTACGTAATAAACTGGATCTAGTTACTCAGAGCACGTCTTATTACTCCAGCATGAATGAAGGTCCTGGCAGGCAGTTAAAGCATTGATTGGCTTCAACCTGTGGCTGATTGGAGCTGCTTCGGTCCCTGCAGAGCCAGGGGACAAGCTGTGACCCTGCAGCCCAGCGTTCGGGCTGGCTCCTCCTCCCTTGGTTGTTGCAGTGGAGGCTGCTGTGCAATTTTATAGCACGGCTGAGGGTGAAGCAGGGCAGGCGCCACAGGAAAGGTCACTTCCACCTTCAGCCCTGCCTCGTGCTGGGCTGCCGCTGCTCAAACGCTCCTCTTCCCGTCTGCACGTGGATTCTGGCTGAGCCCAAGGGCCTTGCATGGCCCTGTGGCTGTGCTGGGGGCTGCAGGGAGCTGCAGCCAGGGGCCCTGCGCTCCGGTCACTGGACACAGTGGCTTGTCCCCTCTCATGGCTCAGTACACCACACTTCCCCAGCACTCAGGACAAAGTTACCACTTTATTCATAGCACCGTTCATCTGAGGCGCTCCACACCAGTCAGTTTCATGCCTCCCTGTGCAGCAGGGCTGTGCCTTCCCCCAACAGGACATCCAGCTTATGTGACTGCCTGCAAGCCACGAGGCACAGTGACAACACCAGCACCCAAGTGCGTTAGCCTGTTAACTGTCAGCAAGGGGTAGGGATGTGTAGTACACCTGGAGAGGGAATGAACACCCCACACTGGCCAAGCCCCTCTCCCTGCTTGCAGTCTCCCCAAGCACTTTTGATGAAATAGGGTCCAACCAATGCCTATGGCAGGCCCCCTTCTCCCCAGAGAAAACCTCAGCGTCACATTTGCATGGGCAAGCAGCAATGTCCCTGTGAGACAGGCAGAGCTGCTGCATCCCAGAGCAGGGCAAGGATGTCCCGTCCCTTGAGACCAAAGCGCAGATCTCATGTCTCCCTGCCCCGTTTCCACAAGAGGGAAGAAAAAATAAAGCTGCCCTACGGCAGTAGCAGCACTGGTAGGTACTGGTCCTGGGGGCATGATGTCAAGGGTCCACCGCCACGCCACACACGCAGGGATGTGGTTACAAAACTAGGAAGGGAGAGGTTCTTCCTCACCCCTTTGCGCTGGGCCCCGATCAAGGAGTCAATTCGGAAGCCAGAGGTCGAGTGTGAAATTTGCTTTTTCTAGAAATTGAGTGTGGGATACTTTGGGTTTAATAGGGGATTAAGGGGCAACGTTCAAGCTAACACCCAACCCAGCAAGTCTGCTTTGCACAGGCCGGTTTTTATCTACTCTAAAGCGGAGTCGCTGCAGGGGAGGGGTCCTGGGTGCCCGCTCATAGGAGGCAGCAGGCCCGGAAGAGCAGCATCCCATCCGGCGAGGAGAGGTGCAGGGAGATGCTCTCGTTGGCGGAGATGAACACCACAGAACCACGGCGCAGAGTCATTTCAGACGCGGCCGCCGTGGAGGTACCTACAGCCGTTCCTTGGATCACCAGCAAGATGCTAGCAGAGTCCACAGCAGAGACAAGGTACAGCTTGATAGAGGAAGGAATCTGCAAGGAAAACAGCCATGGTTGCTTGCAAATCCCCCGGCAGCTTTTCTGCCCTTCGGAGAACTGGAAAGGGCTTTCCTCATTCCCACCCTGCGGACTCTTCTCGCTGCATTCAGGCCATTCCCAGCCTGGCTGGAAAGGATGCAACTTTCCAGCAAGCTTCCCTTTAACCACGTGCTCCCTCCTGCACACACCAGCACCACTCCTCAAATCCTCCAAGCCAGGACACAGCTCCTGGCAGAGCCCCTTCGCCTCTCACCTCTATCTTCATGAGCGTGAAGTCCGGTACAGGCGGGTCGTAGAGGTAGACACTGGGATCGAGCGGGCTCTGCGTGGCAGGGAAGATCTTGGAGCTGCTCGGTGCCGGCGTGTAGTTGAGCATCTCGCACAAGGTGAGCACGTCAATGAACTTGGGGGTGAGTCCAGCTCGCACAGTGTTGTCCGAGCACGCCATCAACTCGACGCAGTCTGCAGGGGAGAGGGCTCCTTGTCAGCCTACCTGGAAGCCCTCCCGCTCTGGCACATCCTAGGAGGATGCGACACTACACGGCTGTGCGGGACGCCACGGACACCATGGCTCTCCCCCTGTAAACCCACAAGTGACAGCACAACCTGGCAAGCAACATGGATTCTGCTTTGATCCCTCTGTGCTCCAGGCTTGGACATGCCCATTCCAAGTGCAGGTATCAGTGGCCAGCACACAACACCCAAGCTCACCTCCATGCAGGTAGGCATGTGGCTCGTTGGCTCCCAGGAACATCGCCTCCCCTGGCTCTAGCCTCACCAGGTTGAGGAAGTAAATGGTGAAGCAGCCAATGTCTCCCGGGTACTGGGAGTGCAGCCGCAGCAGGAGCTCCCCATTGCTCCCCGACGTGTCCTTCCCTTCAGCAGCTGCAGCAGGAAGAGCAAACACAGGTGAGTGGCACCCTTGAAATCACAGCTCCTTTATGCTGCAGTGTCCTGCAGGGACTCAGGGCTCCCTGTGTCCCCTCTGTCCTAAACACACTCCTGGGCCAGGCAGCCTTCCCCGGAGCCTGTCCTGGCCAAGGATGCAGAGGGCACGTGCAGCAAGAAGTGCCTGCAGGCAAGCCCTGTGATGAGCACCAACAAGCAGAGCTGGAGGGGTCAGTATGTGACCTGTGTCCAGCTGGCCTCTGAGGGTGCAGGAGGAATTGTGTGCACGCCTTCCCCCTTATTCTGTGCCTATAAATATAGAAGTCTCTCTCCAGCCTTGGCTGGCAGCTCCCTCCTGTTTATTTTAGCTGGATAATGTCTTAGAGCAGGAGCATTGGAGCCCACTGGTGTTGTCCCAGGCTCTAGCATTATTCCAAGGCCAGAGCCTGGTTTGGAGAGGAGCTCTGGGGACCAGGAGCACTCCTGGAGCATTGTCGCCTGCTTCCAAGTACTCCATCCTCATCCCCACAGCCCCTTCCCGACATCCATCTTGCCAGGCGGATATCCCTCCGGGCCAGTAGCTGGCAAGGGGAGCTGCATCCGCTACAGGCCGACAGCTCCAGGCACTAGAGAAGCTCCGGACCCTGCAGTCCCAGCTGGGCAGGCAGCCAAGAAAGGAGAGCAAGGACAGCCGGGCACGCCAGGAGCCGTGTCCCCACGTGGCCCCTGCCAAGCTGAGCACTGACTGGGGCACTTCTTCCTCTAGCACGGGAAGGACGTGAGTCTGGGGCTGCGCTTGGCACCGGGGAGAGAACCGACCTTCCTGGGAAATCCTCTTCACCAGCATGTTGAGCTGGTCCACGAAGAACTTCTTCTCGCTCTTCATCACGCGGGTGAAGCAGACGCGCAGAGCGGACGACACGCCGCGGGGGTCATCGCTCACGCTGCGCTCCAGCTGCTCCGCGGCCACGTCGCCGATCAGCGCCCGGAGCTCTGGGACACCTGAGGGGACGGTGAGTGCCAGCATGAGCCGGGGCAGGGCCGCCCCTTGTCCTTCTGACCGCAGAATACCCCCGCCCCATCGTGGTGCTCCCAGGGTTGTCCCGTCACCCTGGGCCCCTCTGCCTTACTCTGGAGGAAGGACACAATCTCTTCGACGGGCCGGAAGCCACAGAGTGCCTCAAAGGGGGTCAGAGCGATGGCCATCTCCGGCTTGTGGTTGTCATCTGGGTAGTGTTCAGGGAACTGGGCATGCAGCTTGGCCGCCAGATCCTGCAAAGGGGGACATGAACCAAGTGGGCTCAGGTGGGACCACGTACCCAACCCTATGAGCCACGTTGGGAGCCTCCTCCTACCTTGCTGGGATGCGCTTGGATGGAGAGGGCCGTGTTGACTGAGAGCACCTTGAAGAGGAAGGGCAGGCGGCCGCCGAAGGTGTCCTTGACCTTGGCGCCCAGGCAGCCGGGGTTATCGGCGATCCATTGGCCCAGGGTCTGCTGGCCGATGCGGTTGTCCCGGATCACGGCGTCGCCCCTGGGGTGGGCGCCCATCCAGAGCTGGCAAGGGGCAGAGGCGACGGCGCCGCCAGGGCTTACGCGGCAGGGTCGCGCAAGGTGAATGCCTGTCATGACTGACTTTGCTTAAAGCCCTTTGGCCCTGGACATGATCAATACGGCCAAGGGAGCCACTCGTCCTGCCTGAGCCTTGGGGCTGAGTCACAGCCGGTTCCTCTCTCCTTCCACCCACCCTGGGCTCCTCCAGGATTGGGGGACTGCTCCTGGAACCAGGACAGGCCATGCCGGCATGAGGCTGCTCCCCCAACCACGTTGATAACCATCTTCCTACCAAGGTGTCCGCACCACTTCTCCGCCTTGGCGCTGTGCGGGAAGCGGGCACTCACCTCGGCGTAGGGCCGGTCGGGCTCGATGTGGACCAGGGGGTCGCTGCTGGCCACCAGCTTGGCCACCTCACTCTCCAGGCCCACCTTGCCCCAGGCGTAGTTCTGCATCACGCCGGCCAGCGGGAACACTGCACGGAGGGACAAGATGTCATGTGGGGACAGTGGCGCAGCCCGTCACCCCCTCTGCCACCTCCCGGTGCGTCCCAGTGGGTGCCCGCCCTGACCCCCGCACAGCAGCTCTTTGGGCAGGACCCAGTTTCCCATCTCCGGAGACCATGACTTGGGGATTTCGGGAGGAGCTGGCTGGATGCGCAGACAGTGATGCCAGCAAGCAAAGGTCCCCATCCCTTGTCCCCATCCCCAGGGGACAGTGGCCCCATCCTGCGGGGCTGACCTGAACTCCCAAGGGTCCTCCATCCTGCGGGGTTGACCTGGCCCCCCCATATCACCATCCCCAGGGTTGACCTTGTCCTCCAAGGGTCCCCAACCCCCCCCTAGGTTGACC